ATATATATATTAATCAAGCTCATAAATCACAGTATACATTGGTCTCCACGTGTATAAATAAATCCCCAGAATTTATGGGCTATAAGTAAATTGGTAAATGTCATATAATCTTGTGGCAGGGCTTGCACAAGACACAGTGTTGCCTGGGTCCAAGGACCCCTTCCACTGCCACAAAACTGATATATGGAATAAAATCCATAGGATTGTTTTAAATCTATTTTTATTGTTTTCCAAATTTCTGCAATTACCATATGTAACGGACCGTTTTGCACACAAGGGTTAAAAACCGTTTAGGCGATCGGCCCCCTTTCCAGAGATACAGGCACAGCTACTGCAGAACACCAAACTCCCAAACTGGATACAAAATAGCACTCCAACTCCCGAACTGGAACCTCCCAAATAGCTGCTAGCAGACGAACAGGAAAAGCTCCCAAGCAGCTTACACTCCTGGCAATCAGTCTCTAACAGCATACAGTGAATCCCCCCAAGAACGAGACAAGGCTCCGTGTTGAGGGTCAAGCAGTGGTCTGAGGTGCTGGCACACCCAGCCTGGTTTTTATTACAGTCTTGCAAATACAGGACCGCCCACAGGGAGGTATAAAACAACCAATCACATCACAGTTACATCCCACATATTCCCTCCCCTTATCCTGAGAGGAAACTCAATTACACATACAGTTAAACTTTCATAACTCCAAAACCATACATCACATTCACATAAAATTACATATTCACAATCAATCCATTCAGGGGAACGACATATTCAAAAATGGCATGTATCAGACCAGGGGTTCAAAAGTTAGGGGAAAGTCCTTTGTGACTAAATGAAGCATGGCTTTCTGGCCCAAACCAGTTTCAGAGTCTTCTATCCTGGAGAGTAATTCAATTATCTCCCAGGACAGACACAAGACTCCATTAAGCACATGGTTGCAAAAGACACAAAACACTTTAAAATACATAAAGTCACATTTTACACATAACACACAGACATTTCACATATCCCCAGATAGCTCAGGTCTGAGCGCACATTATTAAGTGAATGGTGCTCGGACCACACAAATACAGTTTAATCGCCATGGAGCCAAAGTCTTTACAGTCAGTTTCATACGAATGGGCTCCATGGGATTCCTATCTGGGGTATAACACATTCAACCAAAACTACCAAACCCCAGGCAGAAAAGCACGAATACAGCTTTTCTGCAGGTAAAAAAAGATGTCTTTTAACAGGGGGCCATAGTCCAAAGGCAGCAGGCGAGCAACCAGGCTTCTCCAATGCAATGTGGCGAGATTGGTCTCGTCACACCATACTACTTCAATGAATTAGTCTCCAGCCATATGCATCCAAGTCATTAATTCCCAGCCATATTCCACAATGAACTGTCCCAAGCTACATTCCACCTGGATCATTTTCCCCATCAGACCCCACCTCCATGATATTTGCCCAAGTTAGAAGTTATTCACTTATGCTGTGAATATAAAAGGGCAGTACTGTAATATATAATATTATTATCACTGTCAAACTGATCTTTATCCTGTGTGTGATACAAACTGCTCTGGGCATGTCCTGAGCTGGTAGGCTTGTACTAGGCAGTTCCTTGTGGTACGGTACTCTGCAGTCATGTGACATTTGACATCACAGCCGGTGGGAGTTTCAGAGACGTTAGCACTCATTAGTGACAATATAAAAAAATAAAAACTTTTTACTCCAGTGGGGGTTCAATAGACCCAATTAAATCCCTTGTAGGCCAACAGTGTGTTGGAGTAAACAAAAAAATCTAAGGCACTTGGAAACAAACACGGTCTTGAGGTAAATAGGCATAGTCTCATGGAGGGAGCGGTTTCTTATATAAATTTATTCATTGAGATTCAGGGCACATGGGTTATTATTATATAATAATATATGTATTGTATACATATATTCATAAAGACTCAGAGCATATGGGTTATTATGATTTATAAAGCGCCAACAAATTCCGCAGCACTGTATAATAGATGGACTGAGACAAATATTTGCAACAATACTAGTTGGACACGTAGGAACAGATGTTGTTGAAGGCCCTGCTCAAATGAGTGTCACATTCTGCTCCTGTTGCAGATCCTTTCTGTCTTGGCTTCTGATATCCAGTACTCTTTTTACAATTCTTGTTTAGTTTTTCTTGTTTTTTTCTGTTTTTCTATTTTATGTCAAGTTTTCTTTATGCTGGGTTTTCTGGGTTCATTCCTTTATTCCGTTCCTGGAATTCCCAGACTCCTGGATTCCTTTAAATGTTTTTTTTTTTTTTGTTGCCAAACCCATTCATTTGCCATTAATCCTTTCTGTGTCAGTCTGTTCCTGCAAGTAGTGGTCTCATATCCACTGCTCCTTTCTTTGCAGGTAAGTACTGTGTGTTTTATTGTTGTTTATTTAATCATGCATATCTAGGCAGTTAGGACCCACCGTAATTGGAGTACTTTGGCGCAGTGGTGGGCTACATACATCTTGGCCATCTCCAATGTTTATTACATATATAGAACTTAGTTGGTCTCCTCTTGTTTTGCCTTGTATCTCTTGTCTTGTTTGAAATTTGTCTTGTATTCACAGTTGATGTACAGTCCTGTCCTGCTCTGCCCATGTCCTGTTCATGTTTCCCTCATGTATTGTGTACATATTCTGGGTTCTACATTCTGTTCTGCTCTGGTTCTTGGTTCTTCTAGTCTTGTCTTGTTATCTTGTTTGGCGCCTGTTCTAGTCTTGCCTTGTTTCTAGTACTGGATACATATATGCTTAATATCCGCTCCTGGCATCCGCTAAGCTGCATCAGGGCCCTGGTATGCGGCCACACAAATGCTGGTGCTCAACAGTCTTTGGACCTCCACCCGTGACAACGAGCTTACATTCTAGAGTAGGTCTTAGATATTGTACACTGAAAAAAGGGCAGAGTCTCAATAGTTATCTTTGGTGATCAACATTTGTACTGTATGTCCTGTAATTTCTGGTCAAAAGTTCCACAGGAACGATGCAGCCCTAGAGAAGTTTTGAAGGCGAGCATTAGAGGTGGGAGTACAGAGAGAGGATAGACGTAGGTTTTCGGCAGAGCGTAGGGGTCTAGATGGGACATACTTGTGTATTAGGGAGGATAGATAGGTGGCAGTAGCATTATGTAGAGATTTGAAAGCAAGAACCATAATTTTTCAGCCCTATAACTTACGGGAAGCCAATGCAGGGATTGACAGAGGGGTGAGGCATGGGAGGTGCGGGTGGACAGGAAGATGAGCCTCACCACCACATTTATTATAGAATGCAATGGGGCAAGTTGGGAGCATATAAGACCACTGAGAAGCAGATTGCAGTAGTCAAGGCGAGAGAGGACAATGGCATGGACCAGCACCGTAGCCGCATCTGGTGTTAAGTAGGGGCGGATGTGCGCAATGTTTTCTAGTTACGCCTCTGCAAGGACACATAAAGCATCATTGACTCCTTGCTATATGTGTTCAATACCATATAACTTTAATCACTTGTATGAGTGTGCATCAATCTGAGAGTCAACCATATAAATAGTTATTTTGACAAGACATTTTAAGTAAATTTAAGTATCTAAAAATAATTTTTATCAAAGTTGTGCTAAATGTAGCTTGCCATAGCTAAAAGAAAAGTTGATGAGAATACTAAAGTAATGAAAGTATTGAAAATGAGTTTGTAGGTAATGAAAATCAGTCGGAAAATTCAAGACTTAAGACATGTTATATAACCAGTATGAAATATGGACATCACAGGGATTTCAGTGCCAGGGCATGCAGATTACTGTAAGGTAATACGGGTGGGACACCTATTTCTTAAGAAAATCAGATGCTGGAGGAGGTTTGCATTGATGATTGACTTTTAGATTTGGCTTGTAGGGTAGGATTCACATTGACAAATTGCTAAGCAGTGCCTATATAAATATTTTTGCAGTTTTCACCTATGTCTCCTGTTTTCTCACTTCTTTGCCACTTTCTGTCTGCTGTCTTTCCCTTATTTTTCCAAAGGTCTTTATTTGGCCCCTAATTTCTATGCCTCCTTGTTTGATACTCAGTGAGGCATCACGAAATAGCTGGTCTGGCCAATTACAGCAAGAACTGCATCCCTAAAGCACTTTTGATGGTCCAAGAATGCAGAAGTGGAAATAACATACATTAGCCGTAACAAAAGGTTAAAAGAGTCTGTGAAAATGTCAAGTTAAATTTGAAAAAAAAAAAAGAAAACCAACAGTGTCAATATCGGTGAAATAGACTGTTAAATAAATATTTTGCACTAGGTACCTATAAACCATATATATAAAAAAGTAAAACTGTGAGGTTGATAAGACATAACAAAAAGGGAAAGGAAATTAGGGATCATTCATTCAACCTTTTTACAAAGACCTTTATTACTAATTGGGAAAACAGATTTTGACATATTCTACCAAATTCTACAATAAAAACTTTATTGCGAGATTTTACCAACATTATTTTTTAAATATTAGACTGGATTGATTAGTATGCATCTTGTACGTTTGTAGAATACGCCTGGGGAATATCATACTGATATTTACACAAATGGAATACTTACAGAATATTTATTGATCTGTGCTTATTAATATTTACACTTTTGCAGTTGTTCACTAAACTGGACAGACAACAGAGTCATCAATGTAACCTGTCAAGTTCATCATATTTAAAACTGCACTTCAATGATGCATTGTAACTCAATATTTACTAGACTACAGACATGTCATCTCTCCATTAAAGGGCCTCTTTACAAGGGAGAACCTCAGATGCAAATAAAAAAAACTGTATCCACGATTTAAAAAAATAACAAAAATAAACAAGCTTTAAAAATGGCATTGCTTATGACAGATCATAATTTAATACATTATTAGTTGCTTGTCGAAAGGAAGAAAAAAATTTAAATAAAACAATATGATTTACTTTACATTCTTAATTTTACAAAATAATAATAATAAAACTACTACTAATATAAATCTAATATTGGAAAATGTGCATCATACCTTTTTTCGTCGAAGTCGAACATGTTCATATCCAGAGACACATGTAGCTCCATTATCCTTTAATTGTAAACACTGGTCTGTTGGGTTCAACATTTTTTGATTTTCATTTACATCTTCAATTGTAACCTCACTTTTATGAACACCATTTTCTTTTAGCATTGTGCTAGAGCTGAGTGGAAAGCAGCTTGAGGGACCAGTTTCACACAAAGCTTGACTACAGAGAGAAAAGCCTTGGTTGGAGCAATTACCAAGCACCACATCACAAGTCTTTTTTCCATGTCCATCTTTGAAGGCATCAGATTTTCTTCTTTGTTGTGCAATTACAGCAGAATATATTAGCTGCACCCCAGGAGTAACAATTTCCCCAACATCTGTACCACTGCTTAGTATTTCTGTAGCTGAATCTATTACAGACATAAAGTTTAATACATTCAAACTGTCTTTGTTGTTCTCATCATTTGTATCCAAATCATCCTCACCTTCAAAAGTGTCCTTTTTTCCTACGGAGATATCACTGATTTCACATTTTTCAGATTTCTCATATCCCATGCCCATTTTTCCCTCTTGTAAAATAACATTTTCAGAGGGGGTTTCCTCTTGACACAGCACTACACCCGTTTCCATGAAATTATGTTCTTCACTTATTATAGAAACATTTACTACAGTTTCCACACTTGTGTCAGGTGACAGGTAAACACCTTCCGCATCTAAGTTATCATTTTCATTAACTTCTTTTGGAATTGGCTCTTGTTTTTCAATGATATCATTAACCTCAGCAACAGAAAAGAGTTTGAAAGATGAAGAATTGGTCTCTTTCGGTTCTTCTGACAAAGCCTCATGTTCTTCCATAGCTGGTCTTACATTATCTGCTGTAAATCTATGGCAACAGAAGGCATCATAAACAGCAAAGCTTGGAGACAATCCCATCCATTGAGTTTCAGGACCTTCCCATCTATGTTTCCGAATGGCCACAGACATATCATAGTAGTCTAGCAACCATCTATTGTATAGGTTTTGCACAGAGCAGAACATGTGATCTTACTAACGAAAAGTCACTGGTGTGCAGAAACATGATCTAAAATAAAATAAAAGACAGAAAACAGTTACATTATGCTTCAAAACATGCAAAATCGTAAGTGGCTAGGTTACAGAAAAATAAAGGTTGACAAACTTACAAGCAATACAGTAGCCCTTGTGTTTGGGGGGAAAAAATAATGTTTAAGCAAGTATAATCACATAGACACTAGCTTGCCAGATTTTGCACAATAAGCCTCATTTTCCTTTAGTCATAGGATAATTTCATGCATCTGAATTCTATAAAGTCTCATGACTGTCTGCACAAAATGAAAAGGGCTCAGCATGTAATTTCAATGATCTAGGCATTCTTACGGAAGTCTGCGATATGTCAAATTAAATACTGCATTGCATAATAGAATGCACATTATTGGATATATTACAGATCTGTTAATTGCCCAACAATGCACATACCAAGCTAAACTAATTACAGTAGATTATTACATTTCATAGGTTTTTATATATAGAAGCCTGAAGGCTGGTTATAGACTTTGTGCAGCTGTAGCCTCTGAATTATATTATATCCTGTTATTGAAGTAATAGGTTTAGGCACATAGGAATATTAACTCCAAAGGTCTTTGGATTAGTGATAGAAGATTATAAATAAAAGTGGATAAAATCTGGAGGTGTATTGGGATGTTTTAGGTGTAATGGGATCACTGCAATATAAAAGAAAGCAGAACATTTTTGAAATTGGTGAGAAGAGTGCTTCAGGGGTATGCTAACATCTTAAACCCCCCCAATAAAATACTAAGTCATTGTTTTAAAAGTATATAATGCATTAAATATCAACAAGCATTACATGTGGAAGTATGTAACAAACACTTCCCCTTATAGATACAACTTGTTACTATGATAAGACCCTTTCCTTGACGTTCTGTACAGTACACTCCTGTGACCTCTGTGTCACATTTGATGGTTCGGCACTTTCCATTAGTGCACATAGAACCAAATGCTAGCTCCCTGGCGGCCGTTCGCATAGACCAAAACCGCTGTAACGGATCACCTGGCACCCCTACTGGGTGTTGAAGGATGCTCCTAGCGCTTCTTGAGGACTCCAAGCACTGTAGCCGACACCACAACCACCGCAGGCCGAACCTTTCTTCCTTCAGAGTGAAGCAGGAACAAGCTCTTAAAAGAGCTTAGGAGTGATTATAGCAAGGGGATATGCAGATCATAGCAATCCCTTGTAGCAGGTTCCCCCAATAAGAGACGGGACTCCAAATTGAGGGTGAAGTAGAACTGAACTTTTAATGGAACACTCTGCTTTTATGTCCATTCTACACACATAGTATTGCCCACAGGGTTTTGTAAAACAACCAATAAAACACGTACATTACAGTAAAACACTCCCAGCAATTACACACAAACCCTTCCCTCTGCCTGTGATATAATTACTGAACACAATGGGTTAATGTAATTATCACAGGCAGGAAAAATATACTTTTTACACATGTACTGTAACTTTAAAAATATACATCCTATTCACATAAAACATACATTTGCAGAATCAGCATACTTTAAATATAAACATAGCAAAAAAATCGGACAATTCCACCCAGTAGTTCAAAAGTTAGCTGGAAGTCCTTTGTGACGGACCGCAACCACAAGCACATTTTCATGCCCAAAACAGTTCCATAGATTTGGGCTGTGCGGTCGGTCAATTTCACACTGAAAAATCACTAAGTCCCATTCGAATGCACGAACAGGGCACCATTCGTGCAAATGGCTCAGTAAAGCAGTGAGTTCAAATAGCCGAACGGGACTTCTCTGTGGCTGAAAACTCAGTGGAGGAGAAGGTAAGGATCAGCGGTGTTCGTCTAAATGTGTAGCCGATTTCAGTTCCATAGATTCAGGGGCACACCGCTGACCACATTCGAATGAACAAAGATGGCCCGAATGGCGGCCCCCCAGCGGTTGGCAATTTACCTACAGCAACCTCCCAGCCTGGGAGGTAAATTAGCAGTAAGCCCCATTTAATGAACCAAGTGGGAAAAAGCCACAAACAAAGGATTTTAAAGGTCTGGGGAGATTTTTGGATATGTTGGTCACCCAGATAGGGGCTATCAGAGGACTTTTGTAGGGTTTTATGTATTTTTAAAGTACTTTGGGGGGTTTGTGAAACGTTCGTTTTTTTATGTTTGGAGATAATTGAGTTTAATACAGTGCTTGACTCAATTATCTCCCAGGCACAGGGGAGGGATTATCTTGTTTTGTATGGCAGTGTCCTGGACCTGAGAGCCAATGTAATTGTGTGTATGTTTTTACTGTAGTCTACTCTCAGGTCCATGGGGAAGTGCCCTTTGCATGGGGACCTGCATATAAGGCCAGTCGTGGCTGCCATTAAATGTATTCCAGCTTGTACTCCCAGAACTATGTGTCATCTGGTTACTGGGAGGGGAAAGGGCTATTCTTTAATCACTATTCCAGTGTGGAGGATTCAACAGGGAAAGTCCTTGTAAGGACTAGAGCTCCCAGGACTGAGTGTTGTCCAGTGCCTGGAGGTGTCTAGAGTGAATTCCCCATTCGGCTCCGGGAGGGAGCAGCTACAGGACTAGAGCTTCCAGGACTGAGTGTCGTTCAGTGCCTGGGGGTTGCTAGAGGAAGTTCCCCATTCAGCTCCAGGAGAGAGCGGTTCCAGAGCCCCAGTTAAGGCGACTATGGGCAGAAGTGCTGTGGTTTGTCCCCTGTTCCAGCTAGGAAGCGGTCCTTGTCGGAGGTACCCAGCGAGGGGAACAGGGAGCTCCGTTACAGGACTACTTTGTCTTATGTATTTTTCCTATGCTTGACCTTCTTTGAACAAAGGAGGAGCTTAAGTCCACTCCTTTTCCTGTGTTCAAAGAAAATTTTCTTGCCTAGGGGCTTAAGCCAACCAATCAGAGTGCTATGAGACAAATTGCAGGATGTGGGGAGACATTATAAGCTTTTCCCCTCCCCTGCAGAGCTCAGTCTGTGCGGAGTCATCGTTGGATTAATTATTAACATCAAGATTTATTTTTTTGCCTTGTTTTTTTCGATCAGGTCTTTTTAGATTTAACTAGTTTGACATTATTTATGGCTTAATATTTGACTGTAAGTAAGTGTGATTTAAAAAAAAAAAAAGCTTTAGGCAATTTGTTTATTGCTCTCCCCTCACTATTATTAGTGTGAGGAGGCTAGGTAGAATGTTATTTTATTGGGGGGGAGGGGGAGGTGTCTAGGGGCTTGGGAACTCCTAGCCACTTGGGGGATTACTTTATTTTTACAATTGGCCTCCACCCATCGCTAATGTGTGGGGTTTGGGGGATAAATAGATTCTTCCCCCCTTTTTTCCACTTATGGCCCCCACACACCGCTACATGAGTGGGGACAGAGGGGCAAATTTGGTCCCCTATGTAGTTTAATAGAGTGCAGGCTTGGCGGGGTTGAATGAATGAATAACCATATTTCACAGAATAGCAAATGCCCAAGTGTTAAACTGGGCATGCACGGGAATTTCACCCTGCCATTTAGTGTGGGTAGATAACATGTCCCGCTGGGCCTTCATCTGCCCACACTAATGTGGCGGCGCCTAGGACCTAGGTACCGGCAAGTTAAAAAAAGGTAAAATAGGGGACATAGGGGCATTTGGGTGTGACTAGGGGGACAATTAAATATAGTGGAGTCGGGAGGGGGGTTAAAATAAACGGGATGCGGCCATGACAGTCCCGCTTTAAGCACTTTATTATTATGAGCATATTTATTCTGAGTGAAGGTGGTAATAAATATAACATTCACCACTGGTCTTTCAACTCAAGTTCAATTCACTCTAGAATGCCTGCATAGCATTCTTACTGTTTTGCATGATGTGGAATCACTGTGGAAACTAGACAAAAAAGATTAAAGATTTGTTTGAACTGTGAATGTACCAAGTGAGACTGTACTCAAAATGTATTCAAAAGGAGAAAAATAATATTAACTTGAATGAAATATTAACAAAGCTTTAAAGTATGAAACTTATGAGCAGTGAAATATCTGATTAGATAAGGAATATTAAATAACCATCATCATATGACAAAGCAAGAAAAATAAGTTCAAAGCCTAAAACACAAAAAGATCATTTGAAAGGAAAGAAATACCAACAGGATGATGGATCTAGAACCTGTGGATATTTCAAATAGGATTTAAGTACAAATGGTAATAAATATTAGCAAATAATTCAACTCTAATCACATTCTTCTTAAAAGAGAGACCTGTGGCCATCTATAGGCTCCATAACCTTCTACAGATGGCATTAAACAAACATCATTCATTGGGGTAAAAGCGTTATTTGGATGGAGGAGAGACGATGAAGGACCGCTTCGTTCTTTCTCAGTGAATAAGATCCTGTCTAACAATGGCATAGATGAACAACCAATTAATTTTCTGAATTGGCAGTCTTGTAACTTGGAAAACTTGGTAAGTAAAAAGCTCTAGCAGTACATAACATTACATGAATATACAGTCAGGAAAGCAGTGAAAAAATATAGCCAAAAAACAAGAACATATATGACAAGATATTCAATGCATTTGTGCCTAGCCACCCTACTTAAAGGGATTCTATAGGCACCAAAACAACTGTAATTGTGTTATATATATATATATATATATATATATATATATCCCCATGCAGTACTGCTCTAATGCTAGATAACTGAGCAGTGAGACTGCAAGGGCATGATCTATACACTATACCAAAATGCTTAATTAATCTAAAACTGTTTGCATGTCTATAGTGTAACTCTAACCAGAAGAGGAATGGTACATTTATGCTCAGCATCCCCTCCTGACTGTCATCTTGGGGGTATATTACCTTCCCCTATAAGCCTAGAGGAGAAATATCAATAAGCTATTATCAGTTGCCTGATTATAATAAATTTCAAAAAAGACTATTATCCTGCTGTCCT